ATTGGTACTCCCATCAAAAGTCCTTATTCAATCTTTTCAAGTACAAAATACGAAGTATAATAAAAATCAATTTATATATAGCACTCAACAAAATTCTCCTTATTTAATTAAAGCATATGATAAAATTTATTCATACATAACTCTGTGTGTGTAGTACTTCTAATTAACGTTGATCTTGGAGCGGTCATTAATATAGTTATGATGAGTGACTTTATGATCATTATCATCAAAATTAGACATATTTCTCATCTTGTTTTTGACATGATCAATATAATTAGAAAACTTTTCATTATCATCTTCATGATTTATCTGATGATGATGAACTATATTGATCATGTTGTTCTCTATAGAGGACTTGTTCGTAGCTTTCATAGATCCAGCCTTAAACTTGTGAGTTGTTGCACTATTCATGTCTCTTCCTATGTGATTATATTCCACGAGGACCTGTTTAGACATAATATAATTAATTAAATATTATAATCTTGTAAATAAGATGATCATACTATTGAAATTTTCACCTGAAAAAAATAAATAGAAGCACGTACGTAAGGAGGCATAATAAATACATCAATTAACTAAAATATGATTAAACAATTTCAACATGTTATTTTATCAGGTAAGAGATCTTGGATTCAAGTTAATCAAATAGCAATAAAGTATTTTCATTTGTTCGACCTAATAAAGATTAAAAAGAATTAGACTCATACATGACGTGAAGAAGCATGACACATAATATAAGTACTTCTCCCATTTTAATTTATACGTGTTAGTTTGACTTAATACGAAATTTAAAAATTTAATAAAAACTTTTAAAACTTGTAGTCTAAAATAAGTCGTAAATATTTGTGTAGCTAGAAATCATTTCATTAAATGTAAACTGAACATTTTAAAATTAAATTATTAAAAATATAGAAATGTATATTCACCGACTAAGGGAAAATAAATCGTATAAATTAAGACAGTAAGAGTAGAGTTTATTCAATAGTACTATACCATGTTGGAGTCAGAAGACAAGTTGTGATTTAACTCAAGTGGTTTTAATACAGAAGCTTTAGCTGAATTAATAGCAAATTTTGGATTTTCATCTGGAAAACTACGGTGAAATGATCGAAAAGCTGAATTTATATTCACTACTTTGAAAAAATTTTCACTAATTCCTTGGGATTGAATAGTACTACTATCTTTGATAGTGATTTGTTTTTTTCCCATTTTTCAAAATATTTTGAGAAATAACCAAATTTGAGATGGGGAAAATAGGGTTAGAAATAGAGCAAATAAATAGGAAAGGGTTAAGCAATTTTAATTAAGTTTCTTAGAATCTTAACTAATCATGTGTTTCTCGTTTTGCGTGTGAATAATTTGTTTAATTTCATTGAGACTTAAATTTCAAGGAGATATTCCTTATGGGCCATATTAACAGACAAATTATCTTCATGGTTTTTAGACAGTCATTAAAAGAGATCATATTCGTGTTAATAACTTTCCTTATAATTTTCCTAATTAACAATAAGATAATGATATTGCGTACTCATCAATAGTACTAGTACTCTTTCGGATGACTTAATTGGTTTGAAAGGTGGTGTTTTACATATATATATATATATATATATATATATATATATATATATATAGTAGGGGATCGATTCCCCTTAAATGTCTTTTGAGTCGAGTCTATTATATAAAGTTTGCCTAGTGTAATTTTACGTTTTCTGTATGGTTTGCAGGCTATTACACCAAAATGATAGAGATTGTATTAAAAGTCAGAATGCGTAAATTACTTAATTATGGTTTAGCAATATAAAAATGTAAAGTTACGACACGTGTATGCATATATTTATTAGGTTAGTATAAATATCAAATGTAAGATAAAGTTTAATCGTACATCAAGTATTAAAAAAGTGCAATTTGGTAACTGTTTTTGGACATACGTCACAGTGCGCTCGTAATAAAAAATCATCACCAAAACAGAAAGGAGGAGCATCAGATACTATACGTTCTCAAAAGTCTAAAAGGAACATTTAGCTTTCAGTAAAATTTCAAGGGGTTCTTACTTGTAAATTGTAATGTAACAAGAAACTCATTAATTATTTGTGTCGTAGACTCGGAGAGACAATCATGGGGGATGGAACTAAGATTTCGAGTTTATGAATTTTAAATTTTCTTATAAAAAAAATATATTAATAAATATAATATTTATATAAAAGTTATTAAATTCTATTGAAGTCGTACTTACGTGCATCCTTAGGTGTAAACAAAGACACCAAAGGAATAGTATGAATAAACTTAAAAAAGAAATAGATCCCACCATTACAATTTGTAAAAAATTAAAGAAATACGTGGAAAATAAAGTGAAGAAAGAATATTATTTATGTGTAGTTTATAATTTGAACTCCTAAATGACTAAGTCAACCTCTAATCTTATATTCAGGAGGTTTAAAATCAATATATAAATATAAAAATTCTTTAAAATATCTTTAAATATTCAATGTAATTTTTTGCTGAGGTGGTTCGGGTGAACCCCCTCGGCATATTCTAGGTCCGCCCTCTGGCGGAATTGATTGTTCTCATGTATAATATATATATATATGATAAATATGAAACGAATTATTAGTACTTACAAAATTCTTGATGTGAGACCTTAAGTCATACAATATTTTTGCTATCGATTGGCTCACATTTTGTGCTTTAAAGTGTCTTTTCGAGCTTTTATTCTTCGAGTTACACTTGGAGAGTTGTCAAATCCCCGATTAGCCTATGGCGCCACATTAAGGCAAAATTCGAGTAGTTTTTAATTCGTTCATTAAAGGATATATGTAAAGAAAACGCTTGATCCTAACACATGGTGTCAGAATTAGACTCATCTCAAATTATTGTTCACCTATGTTGGATTTCCATTTAGAAGTGTTCATGCTCCAGTTGAGATCTGGGCATCGATAGAGGGATGAGAATTTGGTCATCCTTATATAAACTTGCTTTAAACTCATGTATCATATCTTTACCGTATTTAATTAATACGAGGAGAACTTTAATTTGTTTTTGTAGGTATTCATTTATTTCTTTTCGAATTAATCATTGAACATATGTTTTTCATGAACTTTTTTTTTTACGTTATAATGGAATCATGAGTAGTTAAACTTTTAATATCTAAGGTTGATGTACAAACATGAAGGTTGTTGTTGTTTGATAATCATATGATTATACAGATTTTTTTTTCAATATTGAGTTATTTACTTGATTGATTCTTTGACCTCCACAAGCAATAGTTGTAGTTCTGATCTCAAACTTAGATGGATCGATATCGTGTTCATCATCATCATCATAGCTAGGCATAATCTTGCTCTTCATACGATCGATATATCTAGAAAACCTATCATTACTACTAGTGTCATTATAATTATATTCCATATATACCTTGTTTGAGGCAATTTGATCCTTTTGAGTAACAACTTGCTTTAATTCTGTGGCTTTAGCAGGGTCGCTTCTGTGATGATGATCTATTTTTAATTTGGGATTTTGGGAAAAATATCATAAAATTGAAGTTGGATTTAGCGATTTGAAAATCTTTTTACATACTCATTGGCCTAGAGATTGAGTGTCTCTGATGATGGTTTGGTTCTTTCCCATTTTAGAGTACACATTGGGAGAAGGTTGGATGCAGAGGAGATGGAGATCATATATTATGGAGACTCATTACTAGTTTATTTAATCATGTTTCTTCTAAGATTCCACAAGGTGTAAAATAGTCATTAGTCATGAAGGGGAATCACATTCTTGTTTGATATTTTCCTAATTTACAAGATTCCATTTGGATGGTTATTGTTACGATTGTATGGTATGTGAATGTCGTTCGATTGGTATTCAAATTTTACTATATCATATTATTAAATTCATTATTAGATAACAATGAGATTTCTTGTTTTATATAACGATCGATTTGATGTAATAACATTATTGTCACCTCATACTGATACGCTAAAATAAATAATAGAACAATGTGTAACAACCATCCAAACAAAGTGCGAAGACTAAAGTATTACTTTGTAAAAGAATCTTATAGTGATTTTTGTTGGGTTTTAGCAAGTGTGAATGGGAAAAGAAAAGAGAAAATATCAAAAGTGAGGGAACTACTTTGGAGAGAAAATGAAAAGTCATTTGCAAAGTGCAAATGAAAAGTCATTTCTTATAAATTTGCAGGTAACGGTAACATTTCGAAAAGTTGTTACTCTTTCCGAAAAGTCGTTACTTTTCGAAAAGTCGTTACTTTCCAAAAAGTAGTTATTTTCCTAACAGACACAATTTTTCGAAAAGTTGTTATTTTTTTTTCCAAAAGACACAACTTTTTGGATAAAATGGGTCTGAACAGATTTCACTGAACAGACATGTTCCTTGCTGAAAATGGCTATAAAAGGAAGTCAATTTTTGATTTTTTAATAACTGAAAATTTTTTCTTTCTCTGCATTTATTTTTCTCTCAAATAAAATCAAAGTGTCGATCGACTGAGTCTGTGCGACTTGTTGTTGTTCTTCAGTTCGTTGAAGTTAAAGAAGTTTGAGGTACCGCTATTTCTTTAACAGGTTTAATCCGTTTTATCTTGGGAGAAATTAATCCATAACCTTGGGTACAGTGAGAGGATTAAATTTCTGAAGGACACACAGTAGTTTCTGTGGACTCGGATTAATTCTTCTATTTTAAATTTTTTCTGCTTCATCTTGTTTCTGTTTCTGTTCATTAACTTCATAAATACAAGTTATTGTAAGAATAACAATTTTATCCACTAAAACTTAAATAAATGGAAATAAATCACATAATAGTTTTTACTAAATCAATAAGTTTATACTGTATGGACTCAAAGAAAGCAAGATTTTTTGGGTATCTCTCTATCAAGCAATTAATCAAGACCACAAACTTGAAAAAGTCATAAATTAGCACCAAAAAAATGAGTAATCAAAATCATTCTTATAACACCAAACATTAGAAAAACTTCTTTCCTTTTTCCAAGATTCAATTTTTTTTTCTATAATACAAACACAAAGTATAATAAAAATCAATATGTATAACACCCAATATTTTTTTTCCACTTATTTAATCAAAAGTATAAAAAATTGTACATATAATCATTGTTCAAATATAACTCCTTCATTTGTTCCCCACCAGCAAGCATCAATAGTCTAATTATTAATGTTGAACTTGAAACAGTAAGTGACTTTATCATCATCAAAACTAGCCATACTTGTCATCAAAACTAGAGATACTTCTCATCTTGCTTTTGACATGATCAATATAATTAGAAAATCTATCATTATCATCTTTAGGACCTTCATTTTTCTCATGATGATGATTTATAGTGATCATGTTCTTTACAGAAGACTTGTTCACATCTTTCATAGATTTACCCTTGAACTTGCGCGTTGTTGTGCTATTCTCTCCTACAATGTGATTATATTCTACGAGCACCTGTGCAGACATAATATGATTAGTTTAACTATTTGTAACTATATGAAGATAAAAAAAAAAGGTTAAATTTTGTAGTATGTAAGAGATTTTGGCCAAACAACGAAATCACATGTTTGACTCGTACAGTCAAATTTCTTTATAACAAAATCAAGTTTATCTAGATAAACAACGTCGATTCAAACATGATCATAATAAACAGGTAATAAGTACCATATTGTTGGAGGTAGTAGAAAAGTTTTGATGACATTTGCCTTGAGATGGAATTTGCTGGCGTTTTAACTCAAGTTGATCAACAACAGCAACTGGTTTTGATATATTAGCTGTATAATTCCTCTGATGATTTATTTTTGGCTTCGTAGTAGCAACAAATAGTGGAGAATTTCGGCGAAATGATCGAAAAGTTGGACTTATATTCATTGCTAACTTGAAAATCTTTTCACAAACACCTTGGCCTTGGGACTCACTCTCTTTATTCATGATTTGAGATGAGAAAATGGAATTGGACAGAGCAAATAAATAAGAGGAGATTAAGGAATTTAAATTTTTTATTTAATTAGACCTTAGTTAATCATGTTACTCGTTTTCGTGTGAATAATTGTTAAATTCCAGGGAGGCTAAAATTTCAAGGAGATATTCCTTATGGGCCATATTAAAAAATTACATAAATTAATACATTTTAAAACATAATTACTGATTTTAGCGATACTTTTTGTTTATTACCATTTATAGTAATACTGTAATAAATCTGTAATATGTATTAAAAGTGAATTATGTATTCAATATATTTGAATCTATAATTCTTTTTGAAACATAATATGTTTGTTTGGTAAAGATTTGTCACATTGTATTATAAGTGTATTAAAATGTGTGATAAATGTATTATCCATCATTAAAACTTGTATTATTTGTGAATAATAAATTATTTTTTGTAATAAGCATTAAACTTGTATTATAAATGAATTAAAGTGGTCAAGCGAAAAAAAAAATGTTATTGCTATAAACAATAAAATATTTTTTTATTATAATATATTTATGTAAGTTCCCCAATTATCTTCATGATTCTACACAAGGTTTAGATAGTCATTAAGAAGGATCATATTCTTAATAACTTTTCTTACGAGGTTAGATGTAAATATCAAATGCGGATAAATATTGATCGTACATCAGAAAGTGATCAAATATGGTAAAGTTTTAATTGGACTTGTGTCACAGTTAGGTCGTAATAAAAAAAAAAAACATCACCAATCACCAAACAGAAAGGGGAAGTATCAGATACTATAGTGCTTCAAAGTCTAAAAGTAGCATTCAGCAAGAATTTCAATGGGTTCATACTTGTAACAAGAATCTCATTATTTGTGTTGGAGACTCGGAAAGACGAGGATAATCAAAGACGGAACTAAAATTTTGAATTATGAACTCCACATTTTAAAAAAATAAAATAGTTATTAGGTTGTCAATAAATTATATATACATAAGTGAATTTTTAATATACATATATATTACTGAATTCTATCGAATTTGTGATTTGAAATGCTAGTTCCACTTGCGAAGATAATGCGAACACCCTGCCTGAATCATTGGGTATAGACGAAGACGCTAAAGGAACAGAAAGAATAAAGTAAAAAGCAATACATCCCACCATTATAATTTGTATTTTTGTAAAGAAAGACATACACAAAATAAAGTGATGAAAGAATAATATTTATGTGTCGATGAGGGAATTAAGTTACTGTTGGATAAATAATTATAGATAGGTTGTTGCCACATAGTGTGTGTATATATATATATATATATATACTATGTATATGAAATGAATAACTAACAAAATGCTCTCACGTTTTTCTTTGATTCTTCCAGCATGGGAATAGACCCCTTATATATCAGTAACTACACTGATAAAACATAAAATTCTTTAGGTTTAAGATCAAGTTTCACTCCAAGGTAATTAACATCATTAGTCAACATTATCTATCGCTAATTGTACCATAATCATTAGTTATTAGTATTTAATATCATTTCAATACTAATTATTATAGTCTTACCACCATAATCACTTTTGATAACAATTAAACTATAAGATACTATCCACAACCATCATCATTAGTCAACACAGTTCCAAATCAACACACAAGCACTATAGTTAGTCATCATCTTCCAAACCAATGTCATATAAGAATTTCAAATATTTTATTGATATAATATAAGATGAAGTTTATTTGATTGATTTTATATTTTTTACTTTTAAGCTAAACGAATTTTTATATTTAGATATTGAGAAAACAAACCGTCTTAACTATTTAGTATTCAGATCTAAATGCGACAACTTAAAAATGTATAATTTATGTATATTATATATTAATATTAAAAAATATACATTTATGATTTATTAGCTATTATTTCGAGTAGACAGTTATTTATGTCAATTGCTCTTATCAAAGAAAGTAAAATTACACAAATTCTATAGTGTTAAGAGCTAATTACATCCTATCCTACTCTTTCTAAATTACAAAAATCCTTTGAAATGTAAGGATTTTGGATAGATCATTTTCGCCCTGATACATTACCTTTGTCGATACAAGACACAAATGTCCCGATATGTCGCTCAATGTTCCTATACATCGCGTCCCAATACATAACCTTTGTTGATACAAGACATGTCCCAATAAATCGGGTAAGAGTGATGTATCTAAGAATAGGATATCAAATGAGAGAAAATTTTAGAGAATACAATAAAATAAATGGAAAAATTACGCAATTATTAAGCAAACTTATACTACTTAATTACTCATCATAACTATAATTTGCTATAATTACCACTCGTTACTAACATTGATTATTAATTATGTGGACTGACTTCGAGTTGTACAGTTAGCCACGTTTGTACAGTTCGCCTCATTTGTATAATCCGCAACTAAATAATTTTTTCTTTGATTTGTATCTGTATACAATGGTTTATATTTGTACATGACGATGATTTCCTTTGATATTTCAGTTATGTCGCCATATGCATTCAATCTTTTTGCGTACAACTTTTTAAAGTTTGCATAAACTTGGAGTTTTCAGATTTTGTATAATATAATTTATATAATATGTAATTTGTATAACATATTCTATATAATTGTTTGACGTTCATATGTTTATATTTGTATCAATCATTATTTCAAGTTTTATCATATTTGTGTAAATTCAGACTTTATATCACTCAACTATACAAAAACATGCGAATTATACGAATGTAGCCACGAATTATACAAATTATTTTCCTCTCTTGCTCACCTCTCTCCTCCCTCTCCCACTCTCGCCCGCCTCTCTCCTCCCTCTCCCAATCTCGTTCGCTTCTCTCCTCCCTCTCCTAATCTCTCTTTTCATATATACAAATGCATATATATAATATACAATTATCTAACCAATATACATATACAATTCACCTCTCTCCTCCCTCTCTTACTCGTCTCTCTCCTCCTTCTCCCAATCTCTCTCGTCTCTCTCCTCCCTATAACATGCATCTATGATCATAATTATTAAACTATAGCTATGAATCTTTTATTAGAGATACCATTTGTAATAATTTTATTATTTTGTTTCTTTATTTTCTTCTTCTCTTCTTTTGGTCTTTCTTTCCCTTTTATCATTAGTTAATCTTCTTTTTAATTTTTTCAATATCTTCTTCTCTTTTTTCTATATTTTTTCCGTTTTTTTAAAGAAAACAAAATAAATACAAAAAAATGAAATTACAACTAACTATTTTCTAATTAATAAAAATAAATAAATAAAAAAAGAACTAGACTACTATAATAAATCTTAATATTACCACAAGAATATATGTATATATATATATACTCTGAACAAAAAAAATGTTAATGATACCATAACAATATCATTGAATAATGAGTAGGGTGCGAACAAGAAACCTTATATTTTTCTGGTTATTCTATCACATCTCTGATTCATAACACCATTACTAAATGGTTGTGACTGAAGTATATCAGATATCACAATATATTGAAACAGAGAAGCAAGTTGAAATGAGCCATGAAAGAGTAAATAGATTATCAATTTCAAACTTACAAAATCAACAAGTAAAAAGTTGAAAAAACAAAATCAGGATGGTTTTTCTGTTGACTACTGCTCATGGTGTTGCACAATTTTTTCCAAAGTAAACAAACATTGGCTCAATTTCCTCATTATGAAACAGATGCGACAAGTCCAAAACAGAATTATATGTCGGGGATCAATAAAAAAAGAACAGTAAGTTGAGACGAGTCAATACGGCTAGTAAAGTTCATAATCATCCAACTTTTACAATTATATGACAGAACATGATCGTATATAGGGTCTATTGTTTTCACTATTCCGGTTCAGACATGATGCACATTGCTAAAATATCTGTAAACTGAAATAACCACAACAACATATGAGCTATCGAGTCATTTTCTGAACGACATCTGTTAGCCAAAAATATGTACAACAAATCAACATGAACAATAACAAAGAAAACTGAAAATCCAACATATTGTCCTTGTGTATTGATATTTCCAACTTAATCATGTTTAATAAAAGACTACTTTACTTTCCAATAAAGAAGTTGTGCAAAATCTTAAATTTGAATAGAATAAAAGTGCAATTTTTCAATTTTTAATAGAATAAACTGCATCACCAATCTAATAAAAAATAACACCAAACCCATATATCAGAGTTGGTTGTTACCAGCTCACCACTTTTGTGTTCCACAGGCTGCCAACTCCCCTTCTTCAAGTAAAATTTGTAGACTTTTACTCCTTTTAATTGACTAACAAGAGGTGTGCTTCCATGACTCGAATTCTTCATATACATCAAATGATCAATGAAAAATGTGACCTTTTCACTTGTTGAAAACACGTCGAGTCTCCTAGGCTGACAACTCCATACCAATGCATCCACAAATGTTGAGCTCTCCCTATTATTCCATATAATGGTGACATCTAAAACGTTCACATGCGGATTAGAATCATTATGGTCCACCTGCAAATTTTGAATGTTGATGTCGCTGGCTCTATAGGATACAGTGCGAACTTCAGACCAAGAGATCGAATTTGATAGGAACTTCCTCAACTTACAAAACCATGCTGCATATACATTGTCACTCTCTGAGAGTTTGAAAACGATTCTTGAGTACTTTAGTTGAGTTGACTCACTCACAATTTTAATTTGAGGAATGTCTTTCCAGGCATACTTAAGTGATACTAAGTTTGGTGCATCAATCTCCCATATTCCTCCACAATTCTGAATCTTCAAAAACTTCAGGGAAACCGACTTAATCTTTTGAGTATTCATTGTTTCCAAGCCCCAACAACAGTCAAAGGTGAAAGATTCAATCAACGGACAACTACTAAGTAGAGTCTGAAGCATGTTTTCGTCACATGTTAGATAAGATAGAGAAAGTTTTCTCAAAGAATTGCAATTCACAACAACCACACTAGGCAAAAGAGTACAATATTCCAGCACTAATTTTCTGACAGAGTTTACGGCCAAGATTGCGAAAATAAACAAGGGGTATGATGATATGGTAAGGTGTTTTACACCATTTCTAAGTACAACGCCAAGCCACTTATCAATCATAGGGACAAGTAAAACTTCATGAGAATTTTCAATGAACGTTTCAACTGATAATTCAAACTTTTGGATAGGGATTTTTCCGTCCCAATATCTCCTCATGATATCGTCAACTATTTTCATATCATTGTCTTTTAAATAATCAATTGTGAAATCCAAGTTTGGAAGATTCGACCAAGCTTGCAGCCATGTTTTCGAAAGAATGCTCATCCGAGTTGCTTCTTTAAAACTAAGAAAACAGAGTATTTTGTGAATGAGACATTCCGACAATCTATCAATGGAAGGTGTCCTATTGTACAACCATACCTTAAAACCCCATTTTTCGACTCCGCCAATCAACTCTTCGCCTCGCTTCTGCAATTTCTGCCTAACTCTAGCAGCGAATTCAAACATTATTTCCTTGTGATTTTGATTCTCAGTTGTTTTTTCTTCCCATTAGCTTCGTGGCTTTGTTCAGTTTGTAGGTTATGCCTTCAGTAGAAAGCAACAACACAAAAAAAAACACCTATATAAACTAGAACACTACTAACATATAAATGGTAATTTTATATATATATATATATATATACAAAAGTATCAGAAAATATTATTATCTTTTAATAAATACCTACTGATTTTAATGATATTTTTATTTATTACTATTTATAGCATCATATAACAACACTATGATAAATCTATAATATGTGTTAAAATTGAATTAGATATATATAATATATAGGGAGAACACATAAGCGGTCACAAGAGTTTCTTCCTATTGTACACTTAAACCACACAAAAGGTGTACATATCAAACACACTTGGCTGACTTGTCACTGTCGTTTGAGGCACGCCTTTTGAGCGCGTGAAGTGAGAAAAAAAGTTGATGTGTCTGATTGGCACACTTAACGGCCCAAATCTTCCCTTTTCATTTATCCAACTCTAGATTTTCCCATTTTTTTATTTCTCATCTCTTTCTTCTTCACATCTCACCATTTTTGCTGAAAATCCAAAAAAATTCTTCATTCATCTTCATGATTAAACAAAACTCATAAACAAAGTTGCTAAAAATAACTAAATATGGAGTTGTAACTTTTTTATTTCTTGGTAATTCAAGTTTTAATCATATTTGTTAATGATAAAAAAGAGAGGAAGAAGAAGAATTGAGCTATGCAAGTTAGACAATATTGTTTTGGAGGAAAGGGGAGGATAAATTATGAAATAGTTCTATATTGTATGGGAGGAAAGGGGAGGATAAATTATGAATTTTTATTTCTATAATAAAGTTAAAAAGAACAAATAGAGAGTTCATAAAATTATTAATGGTGGAATTTAAGTTGGCAGTGAGGAGGGGCTTCAAAGAAGAAGATGCAGAGGGGGCTGCTGGATCTGATAATTTTTTTTGTAAAAGATATTTTTTTTAATTTGCCACATGTCACGGTATGATTGACTCTTTTTTCATATTATAGTATTTGAAAATCAATCACTCTATATATTTTTGGGTAATGTCATTGAAGTGTCTAATATACACACTTTGTGTATAGATAAGGTGTTCAATACGAATATGGCCTCATTAACGCGTCTAAACGAAAATAGCGTGCAAGTTCAAGGCGTTGCTTATGTGTTCAACCTAATATATATGTATTGTAACTGTTTTAAAATCTATTATACTTGTTTGGTAAGAAATTGACATGTTGTGTTATAAGTGTATAAGATTGTGTGATAAGTATATTATTTATCAATAAAACTTGTATTATATGTGTTTTATATATTGTTCTCTGTAATATATACTATTAAAATTATATCATATAATAAAAGTGTTCAAGTGAAAAGAAAATATTATTGATATAAATAATAAATATTTTCTTAATATAGTATATTTATGTAAGTTTCTTTTTTTAACTCTTATTCCACTAAATAATAGTAGTGTGTTTAAGTTATAAGCTAAAACTAAAGAAAAAAACATTAAGTTCATGAATGCATTTAAGGGTGTAAGTGTTCACAGTTTGGATAAAAATATATAAATAGAAATATTAACCTAATTGTTTTGAGTTTGCACTCTCCTTAATTTTAAATTTTAATATTATATTATATTTTAAATTTAATTTTTATTGGCCCACGGGCCGGCCCTTTCGATATTTGTCAAGGCCCACAAATCAGTAGACTTATTCAGGTCAGGCTAAAAAGTCCTTTTCTCGACTGGGCTCCAAAAATCACAGCTCAGTCCTATTAAATCCGGGGTTAGGCCAGGTCGGCCCAACAGGCCTAGCCCATATTGACGGCTCTATCTGAAATCACACTCACAGATCAACAATTGTCTTCATCACATCATTCTTGAATTTCAAATTCATTCTCTCTCCAGTTTATCGATTTCTAGTTTCTAAAGAGATAAAACTATTTCTTTATCAATTTCTTTTCTAGTTCTTGAATTATCGTCTGAAAAAATATTATTTTTACCTTTTCGTCTACAATTTTCTAATATAATTGTTGTGTAGTGTTTATCCTGCTCAATATAAATGTACTTGATATATAAATACTACCTAATGTATCATTTATATGTATCGAGTTCTACAATTAGGGGTGTACATGGTCGGGTTGGTTTGGGTTTTCCAAATATCAAACCAAACCATTTGTGTCAAATTTTTAAATCTATAAATCAAACCAAACCAATAAAACTCGAGTTTTTCAACATCAAAGTTTTTCGGTTTTCTTCGGGGGTTTCCGCTTAAGTATTCATACAAACATATAATTTACTTGTAATTCAAATATTTCTTCAGTCCTACCAGAATACAACTATCTAAGGTGTTTCTTAAGAATATAACACAAATAATGATATATATATTGTAACGATCCGAAAAAAAAAGAAAAAATAAATTAAATAAATAGGTACTTAAGGTGATTTAATTATTAATTAAAAATTTGAAATTTTAAGGGCATAATGGTCCTTTCGCGTATTAATTAAAATAAATCAGATTTGTATTAATTTAATTTAAATTCTACTTGACTAAGTCTTGAATTTAGTCTCCTAATCCTGATAGCGCTCTCTCTCTCTCTCACGCTTCTTAACTCTCTATCTCACGTTATTTTGCTAAGCACAACAAAAACCAGAGAAAACATCAAGAGTTCTTCACACTTGAAGAACTCACATTAAATTTTAAGGAAAAAAAACAAAGCAACCAAAAACGTTAAGGCTAAGAGAAGTTGTTCGTTGAGTGGTGCGGACGTTGAGGTAACTTGGACTGATTTTTGGGGAGAGTTTTAGGCAGCAAATTCTTCGTTTGAACATCAATAAAGGTATGAGTTTCTTCTCTCTTGGTCCCTTTCCCAAGAGATCCCTTAAAGTTCAAGATATTCATTCCGAAAATTAGGGTTGTTCCCCTTTGTATGCCCTTGTCACTAGCTCCCAATGATCTTAGGTTGGTATGTTTGCTGGTAGAGTTTAGGGACATTGTGTGTGTGGTGACGATCTTGTTTCGAGTATGTGTTCATGATGATGTGATTATATTTTGTGTCTTTCAAAAAATATGAATGTATATACGTATGTATTTGTGCACGATTTTGACCATGACTTTGAGTCTTTCTTTAGCATGTTAATGGATTAGAGATTACTCGTGTTTTATGTGCAATTAGAGGCCCTTAAAATCTTGATGTACACATGGTTGAAATGCTAGAAATTCTAGTTAAACAAATGACCAAATCATACCTTTAACTTTTGTAATGAATCCTAACTAAGACTAAGAAAGAAGTGCTCTAATATCTCGTAAAATGTTGCATAAAAATGTGTAACAAAGTTCCAGAAACTAGAAATTTATTGCAGGCGATTTCTGGAAATTTTTGGTGCTTGGAAATTTTTTTTAAAAAAAGGTGAGGTCTGCAGGGATCGAACCCAAGACCTCACCCAAGGCCTGCCTTAATAAATAAATAAAAAAAAGAATGCATTAAGGGGGATTCGAACTGGGGTTGGGAACCCAGTGAAATTCACCAGAAAAACAAAAAAATAAATAATAATAAAAAATGGGGTTGGGGGTAATCGAACCCTTGCCCCTGTCTTGCGCGAGAAAAAAAAAAAGAAAACGGGGCTGGGGAGATCAAACAAGTGACCCCCAGCTACGTGCACCAAAAAAAAAGGAAATGCGAGGCATGGGGATTGAACCCACTACCTCAACGCTGAAGGGGGGGCAGAATAACAAGGGAATAAAGTGAGGTTGTGGGGATTCGATCCCACAACCTCACTGCCACTCCCCTATTAAATAAATTAAAGATGGAGGGGTTGTGGGGGTTCGAACCCACCACCTTACAGCCTCCTCCTCAGCGAAATTTAAAGAAAAATAAGGGGTATGCGGGGCTTTGAACCCACAACCTCCCTATGGTAGTGAATTTAATCCAAAAAAATAAAATCAAAGGGGTTGTGGGGCTCGAACCCCCAACCCTTCGGTTAATTAATAGTAAAATTTAAATTAAAAAATTTATCTCTTCATGTAAATATTGAGATTTGAATAAGAATTCTAATTAAAATAGAAAATTAATTCTTTCATATTGAGATTTAATTTAGAATTCTAATTAAAATAGAAAATTAATTCTTTCATGTAAATATGGAGATTTAATTTAGAATTCTAATTAAAATAAAAAATTAACTCTTTCATTTAAATATTGAGATTTAATTTAGAATTCTAATTAAAAATAGAAAATTAATTCTTTCATGCAAATATTGAGATTTAATTTAGAATTCTAATTAAAATAGAAAATTAATTATTTCATGAAAATGTTGAGATTTAATTTAGAGTTTTAATGTTATGAATATTAGAAAATAAAATCATTGAAAAATATAAATGATATCCAAGTGATTCAAGATTTGGGTTCCCGTGCCCAAACCTCCGTGTTGATACATAAGTCATACGTGAGTAAAATATTCAAGAATAATGACATCTACTTAGATAAAAAATAAAGATCTTGGCATATATACAAGATACGTAAGTCTTGTAATACATAATCTTAGGAAAGTAAAAATCACTTAGCGAACAATGAATGAAGCCCCATGGTTTGTATGTATAGACACATAAGTCTAACATACGTTCAAAAATAAACGAACTTAAGATATACGTAATGAAATGATGAATCTTAGGAGGGTTAAGTACGAATGTAAGATACACTAAATGTCCAAGTGTATTGACATATGATGAGATGAACTATGAAATGAAGAAATGAACATTCACGTAATAAGAGGTGAGTAACTATGAAAAACAAATGTGCTAATAATGAAGAATGTGATGACAATCATGATGTGAGGCTAATGTATATGATGAGAGAAATCTCAAATGAGCCTAAGTAAATGTTACCAATATGTACTCACCAATGAGAATGTAAGATAATGAAGAGACTAGTCTCTATGAACACTCTAATGAAAATATTAAGTTTAAAATACTTAATACTAATGATGAGATGAGAAATCATCTATTTAGATATGATGTC